AAAATGTCTGTGAGCAGCCCTCGAGTGCTGCTCTGTGTATGCGCGTGAACGCATTCCACCCCCTTGCAGGCATGGCACCCCCCCACAAGCATGGCACACACCCCCAACCGCCCTGCAGCTGGGAAAAGGTTGGGGACCACTGCCTTAAGGTAGCTTTAAGATCTCTAATTAACCAAATGCAAAATGATAATTCCCATCTGAAATGTTTCAAATGAACAGGATATTATGTTGCCAGAGGACTCTTCCTTGTCTTCATGAATCTATCTGATGAAGCTTTACAGGAATCCTGATTTATGCTGTCTAGATGTTATTATATTAGATGACATTATTACATTTCCATTTTAGTAATCTAGTCTTGTAATAACTATTTGATAATTCTCTGCATAATCTAATCTTGCTATATGACTCATTGAAGCAGTTTAAAATAGACCTTATGTATTGGACTATGATGTGTACCAATAATGTATTTATAAATACAGGAAGCTTTTTCTCAAAATATTTGTGACAGAATGAATAGCCTGCTGTTTCCTGGTAGCCACAAGACAGATTTTTTTTGGAAACACAAAATGTTAGCAAGAAAGGTCACACTAACTCATAGTATAAACAACCACGTCTAGACTGTTGCAATCAGCTTTAAGAAGGGTTGCCTGTATATTCAGAAACTTACATTGAACCAGAATGCCTTGTTGTTTATAGGGGCCTTATAGAGAGATTATGTGACTTCCTTGCTGAAATAGCTCCCGTGTTGCTATTTTTCACATCAGTTCAAAGGGTTGATAATGACGTTTAAAACCACAGTGATCTAAGGTGAAGACATCTGTAGGACTACTTCTTCCCCTGTGAGCCTGCCCACCTACTGAGATCATTTTCAGAGAGCCTCCTAAATCACCAAAAATTGGGAGGAGTACTATCCAACGGCTTTACCCAGGCTGTGCAAATTCCTTTAAAGGGAAGACCATGTCATTTTTTCATGAATGCCTTCCTAGAAACGAGTGAAAACATTCTTTCTCTCTATATATGTAACTTTTGACCTACTCTTTTAATCTATGTCTGTATTGTTAAATGTATTTTAAATATTTGATTGCTACTACAATTTTATCCTCTCCTGCTATTTTCATATGTTTAATGTCCTTTTTCAAATCGTAAAGATGTATTTAACTGTTAAATTTAATAGGTCTGTCAAGAGTCACCTTGAACTAGGAGAAAAGGCAAGGTGTATGTGTTTTAAAATGAAAGTCTTAGGGATCTCT